TTATATTATTTATGTATTTAAAGATCAGTTATTAGGCTCTGTGAAATCCTAATATTAAGTTCTTTGAAAATATTTTGCTTTTTTCTTTAAGAGAAGCACAGAATAAAAAAGCCCTCACAATTTAATGTAATTCCTATCCCATGTGGACAAACAGTTACACTTTGGTGACAATAATGAAGAATAACCAGCCATCTGTAACTTGCTGATATAGAATGCAGAGGACTTTCATTTTAAAATGCCTCAATTACCTGCAGAAAGAGAGAAACAATATAAGAAGTCAAAGCCAAGTTCACAAGGCTCTGAAATTGCTTTTCTTTTTCTAAATTATCAAAGCTAGGCTTCTCAGTGTTGAATGTTTCCAGGATGATTTTAGCAGAAGCCTTATTAAAGGAAGAGTTTGCTCAAGCAGAAAAGCAGGAAGAAATTGCCAAAATCCTGGTGGCAAACCTAATTGAGCTTCCATTCACAGAACAGAAGCATACCTGCACAGTCCATCCCAAGAACAATTTTATGCAGTTAAAGAGGAAAATTGTGAGGTGGTCCACACGTCAACAAAGAATCACTGAAGTGAAACATGACATCCTAGTAACCATTTTCTTTTGCCTTCCGATCCCTAATCTAAAACAAGAATCAAGTAACACAGCGGTAGTTACTGGCTACATTTCTGCATAACCCCTGCTAACAACAGATTCTAACAGATTCTAATAAAACAGTTTCACAGAGATGCCTGAGGCCAAACTGTCAGAGAGGTCAGGGCCGGGGCTGGACCACCTATGATGCGGACTGAAGCATCCACCTTGAGTGATGGAACCCTGCAGAGAAGCGCTGCTGCCAGGGTCACACAGTTGTGGTGACTTCAAGCAAGATTTTATGAAACTCTTGTGAGATCTTGCCAGAAGCTGCTGCCACTGTACAACACCAGTAAGCAAAGCTTTGCTGGGAGTAGGTGGGGGCGCACCTAACACTTTCACCTCAGGCAGTAAAACAATATAGGCTGTCCCTGGTTTAGGCTGTCCTATTGCATTTTGCAGGTGAGGGCTCATACATATGATTAAATGCTCCTACATAAACAAAAGAACAAGAACAAAAAAATATTAAGAAAGCTCATTTTCTATGTATGTGGATATTTTATTTTATCAGGAGAACCCCTACCGGCAGCATAAGTGGTGGTGTCATCCAGACAAAGGTATAATTCCTCAGTGAGAATTAAACCTAAGAACACTTCTTTTCCCAATACCTCCAGGAAGAACCAAAGGTGGCCATGCAGGCTTCACATAGCTAACTTCCTCAAATGAATGCCAGTATCACTGCATTTCAGCAAATCCTGTTTAAGAATATACAGCACCTCAAATGTTACTGTTTCTGGATCATGCATTGCCACAAGACAGCTCCCTGGTTTCAAAAGATATGTGAATTACAAAAATCAGTAGGGATGACTATTCATTCCATTCCATCAAGCAACAGCAAATGAGAAGCGGGGCGGATCCATTTTCTAAAACTGTTTCCATTCAAGCTGGTCATTAAAGGTAAAGGGACCCTGACCATTAGGTCCAGTCGTGACCGACTCTGGGGTTGTGGCGCTCATCTCTCTTTATTGGCCGAGGGAGTTCTGAGACTCTCTGAGGGAGATTATTCTAGATCTCAATGAACCAGACCAGGAACTCCTACTGTCACAAGCATCTTCCATACTCATCATTCCTAACCTATGCAGAAGGGAAAAGGTGCTGAAAGCCTCAATCTCAATAGGAAGTGATCTGACCATGACAAGGGAATGATGTCAACAATATCCTCCACCTTCAGATCACCCTCTTCCTGCCCAGTTGAGAAAGGATTGTATAGTGTGTGACCTGCCACCTGCATGTGGCCTGCGACCTGTTGGGAAAGCCCCATGATTATCATGGCATCCATGAACTCTTGAGCCACCCTAGAGCCAGTCACCTCACCATGGATGTTGAAATCCCCCAGAAGTAGTAGTCTGGGAGTCCCCAACACTGCCTCTCAGACCAGCTCTGTCAGCTTAAGCAGGGAGACTGCTGGACAGTGAGGCAGGCAGTAAACCAGCAGAATCTCTAATCTGTCCCAATTGCCCAACGCTAGGAACACACACTCTAGATACCCCACGAAGTGGACAGAGAGCCTGGAGAGAGAGATGGGATGTCTATACACTACTCCCCCTCCCTGACTCTCAGGTCAGCCCTGAAGCTTCACTGAGTACCCAGGTGGGCACAGTTGGGCAAGACCAACTCCACCTTGCTCAGTCATCCAGGTCTCAGTGATACAGACCAGATTGGCCCCGTCATCCACAATCAGGTCATGAATGAGGAACTGACCTTGTATTCAACAGCGGCAGCCACATACCAGAGGGCTGGCTGATATAACAACAGCATTTCCCCAGTTTGGAGGAGGGGCTGGCACATGGCACAATCACTATCTGCCTGTGCTATGTGTCTCTCACCTGGCCTGCCCCACCATACCTCCCCTTACTCTGAACGACCATGATGCCCCCCCCCCGCTCTTCCCCACTCCCTTCTTCCCAGGCATATCCCGCAAAAACCCCTCAATGTAACAGTCTCTTCCTCCGGCCCCAACACCTAAGACCTCCATTGAAAAAGCCCTCCCTGAATCCCACCATACTGGGCAATTATTGTCCAGTTTCCAATATCCCATTTTTGGGCCAGGTCCTGGAGTGTTTGGTAGCATCCCAGCTCCAGGAGTTTTTGGAGGATGCAGATTATCTATATCCATTTCAATCTCGTTTCAAGACTGGTTATGAGACAGAGACAGCTTTGGTTGCCTTGTTGGCTCATTTGCACCAGGAAGTGGAAAGCAGGAGCGTGTCCCTGTTGGTTCTGCTGGACTTCTTGGAGGCTTTTAATACCAACCATCATGGTATCTTTCTGTGCTGCCTTAGTGGGATGGGACTTGGAGGCACTATTTTACAGTGGCTCTATTCCTTCCTAGAGGGGTGAATCCAGAAGGTGGTGCTGGGGTAGTCCTCTTCAATAACTTGGTCATCGGCCTGCTGGGTCCCTCGGGGTTCTGTTATTTTTCCCATACTATTTTAACATTTACATAAACTTGCTGGAACAGTTTGTCCAGGAGGCTGGTGTGCTGTTTATATTGTGATTGTATGTTTTTAATTCTATTAATGTTTGTTTTTTAATTATGGTTTTATCTATGTTATATGCCATTCTATATCGGTAAGCAACCTTCAGTCCCTGTCAGGGAAAAATAGATAGATGATAGATAGATGGATAGATAGATAGATAGATAGATAATGGTGATGATGATGCCACCAACTCCCTCCCCTAACTCCTGTGGAATGTACAGAAGGCTGGTGAGAACAGCAGGGATTTCTCTAATTTGCACTGGGGTTTTTGTCTATGAGAAAAATCACATTCCCTGTTTTTCTAAATCTCTGTTAAGTGTGATGTCAAGGTAAAAAACTATATTGCCAGGTGTAATCCATGACTAAGTGCTATTTGCTCCCAACTATTTGGTGCACTGATTTGTGGAAGACTATGTACAGGTTGGAAGGTGGTGGTGCTGAAACTTTTATTCTTTCCCTTGCAATATTTCCGCAGTATCCTTTGTAGAAAGGCACCAGCTAGAAAGCAGGCCTCTTTTTTCCTTTTCCTATTTTGGCAGGGAAATGTAGAAACCTTCAACAACTATCTGTAGGCAGTGCACCCCAGAGAAATTTCACTCAAAAATGATGAATATTTCAGTGTATTTTGCCTCCTTTGTGTTTTAAAGGTACACTCAAGGGGCAACCACCACATGTCTGACCTAGACTCCCCAAAATTCAACAATAATAACTGCAGCGCATGCAGATATATAAAGTTGTTTGCATTAAACATCTTTTTCAAGTATTTCTTCAGTATATGAAGAATCCATAAGGCAACAAAACAAGAGCCTATTATTAATGGTAGTAAGCAGCAAACTAAACTACGCATTAAAATGTGACATCACACAAATACTGTTTCTATCCTGTCAAATTTGTTTCAATGTTATGGTATAATTAATGCTTACAGGCAACAATAAAACTAAGACAACTTTTTTTAAAAAAAATGCAATGACCTATACTTGGCATCTACCTTTCAGGCTAGAGGTGTGAAGAAGTGCAATGAAATAAAACTATTTTATTAGCTGTGTTTCCAAGTTTTCAATTGCCATTGGACATAGGTTAAATCATAATAGTATAAAAGTAGCATCACTTAAATAGTAAGAATTTCTTACCTTACTTCTTTTGTTTCAAAACTAGGAAGGTGGAGCAGAAGTCCCAATTAGGTGACTCTACCTTGGACCACAACAAAGTAATCAAAGCAAGTTGTCACTTTCAGTGCTGTCAGACAGACTGCTGCTACACAGCTGTACTTCTTCCCAAGTGCATTATTGAAATATTGCATATCTGACCAGTAAAAGGAACATAAAATAAACCAAAAGCAAAACAGATGGAAGACTGTGGACTCAGCTATACAGCTGCAAATAAAACATTTTAAGTGTGTTGTTGTAAAATGCACTATACAAATGTATCACTAGATGGCGATGGTGAGCTATGGTGAATTCAATATATTTTTCAAAACTTCTTTAAAAAAGCATTTCAGTGTTTTTTATATGTGTGTAGATTCCATCTGTGTCAAATGAACCACATTAAAAACCTGCTTTCTGCAATGCCAATCCACAGAACATTATTATGAGAAACCTACAACACATGCAATTCTAGCACACCCAGAATCTTCCCTTATCAGAGAAGGTAAGATTGATATAGGCTCTGCTCACAAGCCTAGTATTTGCACACTACCTAATGCACAATAGTTTGGTGTGATGTCTTAACTTACTACTAGTCATCCCCCAATGACACAAAATGGGAGGAAATGCATTTTGTGTAGTTTTTTCATGCAAAGCCTGTGCACAAAAGATTCATAAAAATTAAGAATATAATGTAATTTGAATATTTCACTAGCAAACAAATACTGGTATTAATACGGAAAGGATATTATCATCTTCTCAACAAATTTATCATGCGGATCTTCTGTTTTAGGGAACTTCTTAATATCATTTTCCAAACGCTGTATCTGATGTTCCATGGAATCGAGGTTGCTTTTAAGACTCTGAGCTGAAACTGAGGGAAAATATGATAACTCAGAAACCAATTCTGGGTGTAGGAAAGAAAAGCAGTGTCAGAAATAAAATCCTTGAAAGCTGTGAGGATAATTCCATTAAAACGTGCTCCCATTTTTCTGAATTACTGCTCATAAAAGTTCTATTCTTCATGAAATAAGTGAGAATATATAATATAATATACCAAATCATCATGTTTAATGTGAGAATGTCACCATTTTATTCTGCCATTAGTTCAAATTAATCCATTTCTATTCAAATTTATTGATAGAAATGCTAATATTTCATTCCTTTAAATCTAATTTGTAGATTAAACAGCAACTAAGGTTCAAAAGAGATTCTATCTTAGTAATGCATATAGTTGGTTATATAAATGATTTAGAGAGAACTGCAGAAGAGCTCAAATATTTTTCTTCTTGCTCTGTAATATTCTGTATAGGCCTGTACCTATATGAGCTTCTTTCCTGCACACATTTTTTAAAACATTGAGATAATACAAACTACTGATGCTTAAATTTCAGGTAAGCAAAAAAGGACATGCAATCCATGGGGACCACTTTTTAGTACAACAGTATATGTTACTCAAAGTTTTATTAAATCATATTTGAGTATCTTTCCCTCTCCCCTTTATCTGTAAGTGATTATAGGTGACCTTGTTAGTTCCTTATATACTGGGGGTTAGGTTAGAGAAATGGCCTCTTCGCTACTAACTGGAATTGGCTTTAAGTGCAGGTAAGCTTTGTTCACCATAACTGGTTTCAATTAGTGGTACAGAGACCATATTCTAAACAAAGAACCAATAAATCTTTAAAGTTAGTCACATGTATAACACTAGTAGATCATGGACTGTTCCTGCATTATTTTAAGAAACTGGGAGTGAGGCAGGTTAGCAATGAGGCTGGTCTACAGTCATGAATGAATACACTCTAGAATCTGGAATAGATTCTATGATCTACTCTGGACATACAGAGAGAGCAATGCAGAAAGTGCTTGCTAATGTCACTGATACTTTGCTTCACTGGTAGAATACCTTGACAAAGTTAACACACAAGGAGGCAAAAGGAGATGTCATCAGTGAAGCAAAACCTATTTCCTAAATTTCTGAAAGTGATGAGGAGGCAGAGACAAACACACAAGGCCTCTCAGCTTTCATTTCATAACAGAAGTATAACTCTAGCCCTCACAGTTTCATAGAAAATATTTTAAATGTTATTGTGCCATGTAACCTACACAGTATTTCTCAAAACACAATGACTGTACCAGAATGTAAATATTACATTTGTGATATATACTTATGATACTCAAACTGTCAATATGAATATGAAAGGGGCTTGAATTACAAAAAAAGAAAAAAGAAAAAAAAGAACAAGGGACAAATAGAATCTAAGAACACAAAAGTTATGATGAAAGACTACAGGACTTTAAAGGTTTCTGCTCCAGTAGTGCCTAAGCTAGTAGCAGGGTAGGTGATCAGTGATTATGAAATTCATTTACAAAAGTATTTGGTACTGTTATCATAATCATCATCACACCATCATTACTAATTTATATTGTATTATCAGTGGAGCCTCAGAGAGCATAAGCGTAAAATTTTCTGATCCAGGAAGCTTCTGATCGAAAATTCAGCACAGGGTGGGAAGGGGCAGAGTAAGGAAAAGGTAGTGGAAGGGGCTGAGCTGGGAAGCAATATAAGATTGTTTCAGTCATACAATATAACATTGTTTTGATTACATCTTCTAAGAGTGTGTGTCTATGTGTGCTCACAAAGTCATGCTTGTGTACAAATGAAAACAACAACAAATAACCACTTCATGGGTGGAATTCTAGCATACTGGCAGGAATTAAGTGGGCTACTAGAACAGACAAGAACACATTTGCTTGTAAACAAATGTGTTATCTGAATTGCTGTCTTGTTAGTGACCTTAAAAACCCCTGCTGCATTTAGGGAAACTGAATGCTGTTTCCCTCCTCCCCACTTTCACCCCAATAATGACTTATTTCAAATTTGACAGATTATTGTCAAAATGAACAACTTTCATATCTTAGAGGACATATTCTTGCAAGTTGTGTATTAACAAAGGCAAAAGGACAAAGACTGAATAATTGTATTCTGGTGAAGAAGAAACAGTGCTATTGACAAAGCTTTCCACAATCACAATTGTAATCAGTAAGAGCTTCTGTTATTAAATTGCCCATTTTGCATGACCAATATGGCTGAAACATGTTCAAGGAGCATCTGTTATTTATTTCAAAAGCAAGTATAAAGCATCCAGAACTTTCATCTACCACACGAAGTGATCCCACAAAAATAATATAATCAGCAGTGTCCAAAAAGAGTCCACTTGTCAATTTTATGCAAGTCTTGATTAATCATGTTGTCAAGTGCACTAGAGTAGGACTGAGGAATACTTCTGTGTCATGTGAGTGAAACATATATAGATCAAAAATAAATTAAGCCTGACTTCAAATATCAAAAAGAGCAAATAAAAGCCATGAGAAAGAGATATGGGGGTCACAGCAGAAGTTCCCTAAAAATGTAAGTTAATAGTTCTACTGCAGTGAGAAAGCCAACCTCAGTACCATAAATTATTTAGAAAAGGTGTTGAAAATATAAATGGTTTTATCAATAGTAACTACATGTCTTAGTATGCAATATTATGCAGTTCCAGACAAAACAAGTAAGATGAAGAAAGGCATTATTTGTTTCATTTATACTTAATGCTCTACATGGTGCTTCCTTTAAAAAGTGCTCAGAAACTTCAACTGGTTCAAAGAGCTGCAGCTGGATTGTGGAGCGGGGCTGGTTATAGGGAGCATTTGACTCCCTTGTTACAACAGCTGGTTATGAGCTATAAAGCCCTATATAGCATAGGTCCAAGCTATCTGAAATATCCTATTCTCACATAAAAACTTGCCTGAGTTCAGGGGAGGCCCTTTTCTTGGTCCCACGACTCTCACAGGCACACTTAGTAGGGTCTTAGGAGAGGGCCTTTCTCGGTAGCTACTCCCAGACTTTGGAACTCCCTTCCTAGATTGGCTCCCTCTGTGTTTTTCTTCCACCGGTAGTTGAAGAGCTTCTTATTTCAACAGGTTTTTGGGAACTGGCTGCTTTTAATGAAATGGCTGGTGCTGTTTTTACTCTAATAAAACTATGTTTTAATAGCTCTTTTATATTTATATATAGTTTATATATAAATCTTTAATTGGTTTTCTTAATAATGGGTTTCCCCCTGTTTTTAGCTGTCCCTATTTTATCTGTCTCCTGAGATATCTCTACGTGGGACAAGAAGCTACAGTTAGAACTGGATATGGAACAACTGATTGGTTCAAAATTGGGAAAGGAGTATGACAAGGCTATATATTGTCTCCCTGCTTATTTAACTTATGTGCAGAATTCATCATGCAAAAGGCTGGGCTGGATGAATCCCTAGCCGGAATTAAAATTGCCGGAAGAAATATCAATAACCTCAGATATGCAGATGACACAACCTTGATGGCAGAAAGTGAGGAGGAATTAAAGAACCTTTTATTGGATGAAACGGTCAAATCAGCTATGATAAAATGGGCGCAAGACATTGGTTATAATATTATGTTTGCTGACTGGGAATGGTTATGGACCACTGGAGTGAAATTTACGGCATGTAATGCCCTAAAAGAAAATATTATGAAAATGATATACAGGTGGTACATGACCCCAGTCAAGCTTGCAAAGATATACCATTTGCCAGATAATAAGTGTTGGAAATGTAAAGAAACTGAGGGAACATTCTTTCACCTTTGGTGGACGTGCCCAAGGGTCAAGGCATTCTGGGAAATGATATATAATGAATTGAAAAAGGTATTTAAATATACCTTCCCTAAGAAGCCAGAGGCCTTCCTTTTGGGCATTGTTGGCCAAATGGTGTCAAAGAAGGACAGAACTTTTTTTATGTAAGCAACAACAGCAGCAAGAATACTCATCACAAAACACTGGAAGACACAAGATTTGCCCACTCTGGAAGAATGGCAGATGCAAGTGATAGACTACATGGAACTGGCAGAAATGACTTGCAGAATCCGAGACCTGGGAGAAGAGTTAGTGGAGGAGGACTGGAAGAAATTTAAGGACTACCTGCAAAAGCATTGCAAAATGTATGAATGTTAAAATGATGCAGGATATAAAGATAATATGGCATTAGTGATATAGTTTGAAAGGAATATGTAAAAAATGTTTCATAAGACTAAGGGTAAAGATAGAATAATATTATGTCAAATTTAAACAAATTGATATAAAGGGAAAAATTGGAGACATAATAGTTGAAACGTATAATACAAAATAAGATTTGAAAGAGGGGGAGGCACTGCTGAACAAGATTTTGTAAAGGGGAACACAGAAAAGGGAGATGTGAGGGAGTCTGGAAGGAGGGTTCAGAAAACAATAAGTAAGAAATTGGCTTTTTATCTTTTTTATGTCTTTTTTCTTTTTGCGTGTTTTACTGTATTTTTCTGTTTTTCGTTTGAATGTGATGGTGTTTTTCTTTTCTTTTTTTCTTGTTTCGAGTGTGAAGTTTGTTTTATTGTTTAAAACTTTAATAAATATCTTTTTTAAAAAAGAGAACCTTTTATTGAGGGTGAAAGAGGAGAGCACAAAATATGGTCTGAAGCTCAACATCAAAAAAACGAAGATCATGGCCACTGGTCTCATCACCTCCTGGCAAACAGAAGGGGAAGAAATGGAGGCAGTGAGAGATTTTACTTTCTTAGGCTCCATGATCACTGCAGATGGTGACAGCAGCCACGAAATTAAAAGACGCCTGCTTCTTGGGAGAATAGCAATGACAAACCTAGACAGCATCTTAAAAAGTAGAGACATCACCTTGCCAACAAAGGTCCTTATAGTTAAAGCTATGGTTTTCCCAGTAGTGATGTATGGAAGTGAGAGCTGGACCATAAAGAAGGCTGATTGCCGAAGAATTGATGCTTTTGAATTATGGTGCTGGAGGAGACTCTTGAGAGTCCCAT